GGTCTGGAAGAAAAACAAACAAACAAGGAATTTTTCAACAACCCTTTAGAATGTAAAAAGCATTTTTAAACCGGGTGTGGTGGCGCACGCCTGTACTCAGATGGCTGACGTAGGAGGATCGTTGTGAGTTCCAGACCAGCCTGGGCTACAAAGTGAGCTCAAAGTCAGCCTGAACTGCATAGCAAGACCCATCTCAAAAAAAAAAAAAAAAAAAAAAAAAAAAAGCATTCTTAGCTTGAGAGTTGTACAAAACAGGTAGTAAGACCTACACTGGAGAACTCTTGCATGTGACCAAGGGCGAATGATTAAGGATCTTTCCCTCCATAGTGAGGTGAGAGTGAGAAACCGGAAGTAGTTTCAGAGGATAGTGAAACCTGTGTGCATTCCTTGTCTGCAGCAATGGTCAGCAGTTGTAGTGAGGTTAGCGCTGCGTGGTGCTGTGCATCAGACTCTGAGAGGCTGAGAGAAGAGGATGACAAGTTTGAGCCTCGCCTGGACAATTTAGCAACTTAGACTCTCTCAAAATAAAAAATAAAACCCTAGGGATTTAGCTCAGTGTAAAGGGTCCGGCTTCCATCCCCAGTACGGAGAAAGAGTGGCAGGGGAGACTGATTGTGAATGACATGGGTGACATTTATTTTGGGGGGATTTTTTGTTTTTTGTTTTTTGTTTTTTGTTGTCTTTTTTTGAGACAGGGTCTTCTTATGCAGTTCAGGCTGGCCTTGAGCTCACTTTGTAGTCCAGGCTGGTCTTGAACTCACAACGATCCTCCTGCCTCAGCCTCCTGAGTGCTGGGATTATAGGCATGCGCCACCACGCCCAGCGACATTTATTTTTTTGAGATGGGGTCTCTATGTAGTTCAGGTTGGCCTTGAATTTACTATGTAGCCCAGGGTGGCCTTGAGCCTGTGGCCATCCACCTGCCGAATGCTGCAATTTGAATCATGCACCACCACCATACTGTCAAGTGAAGTTTTTTTTTTTAATGACTTTATTTTTATTTGTATTTTTTTGTCTTTTTAAAATATTTTTGTCTTAGGTTGGGCATAAGTGGTGGGGCATGCGTGTAATCCCAGCATTTGGGAGGCTGAGGCAGGAG